GGTCTAATTTTCAGGGAAGAGGAGGGGTGGTCTACATTCAACCATCACGGGAAGACCGGTCTATGATCCGGCCAGAAGTTCCTACCGAAATTGGGCGGGATATAATGATTTCGGTTTTTTTTTTTTTAGATAAGATTTGAAATCCTTTGTTTCAGCAAGAGRTGATTTTATGAATTAATGAGCTATAGTTTTTGAATTAATGAGCCCAAGTTTATGGTGAGGATGATGACATGTTTAATAAGCAGACAAATACGGTCTTTGTCTTGGAAAGGTTTGTTTGAATGAAATCAAATAAACCAGGAAGAAATCTTTTGTTTGAGCAACTGGTGGTTAGGAGTTTATGAATTAATGAGTCTAGTCCTATAGTCTTCTGTGAGTTAGACCTTTTTTTCTGATGTATTTTAAAAAAGTAAACAAAAACGCTTATTACGTACAACGTCAACATTTCGATTTCAGACTGAGACTCGTAGATCGAGCCGGTTATCGAAAAATTAATTAGAACTCAAGAAGAGAGTCTGATTTCAAGCTCTGGAGGACTTTATTCTCCATAGGGACAGCTCAAAGTCACGGCGGTATTCAGCAATAAAATCTCATAAACTCGATCGAGAGAAGTCTTATTATTTCTGATCAACAGTTGTATTTACTAAAGTAAACTTCTTAAGAAAATAATCAATGTAGATGTATACGTAGATCGTAGAAAAAATAACAAAAGACCAAAAAAAGACCAATTCCAATGGAGTTTTGAAGGAAGTTCGGCCAGTTTTGTCATTTAAATAAGCCGTTCTGAAGAAAAAAAATTGAACGCCACGCATTACAAGATTACAAACAGCCGAAGCAATGCTCAGATTGTATGTTGAAATGTGCGAAGGTCTAACGAGAATTCGCTCCAATAAATAATCATTAATTTACCGACTTGGATGAAGGCAAAATAAATAGCATTTATAAACGTATTTCTATAAAATATTTGCTTAAATAAATAGTTTCATCCGAAACAATATGTAGGAGCCGTGACCATTGAAGGTCAAGATAAGTAGTAATGTAAATCAACACGCATAACGCAACGCTTTATGTTTATCGTCCCGATTTTATCATAAACGGCCGATTATCTTGTATATTCAGTTTTTGAGCTCGTAGGTCGAATGTTTGCTGGAATAAAACACACAGCCCGCTTTGAAACTGAAAACAGAGAAAGCGTTTTCAAATAGATCTTCTTCCAATT